AATGCTTTTTTCCTACCTGTTCCTACATGAAAGAGCGAACAAATAAGCAAAAATCTGATTGTGGATGTTAGTACGATCGAAAAGTCAAAGACTTATCGCCTTTTATTGCCCTTTTCATTGCCTCCCAAGTTATTCGGCAGTCGCAGTTACCTGACCGTCCCTGCGAACTGGTGCATTCGACACATACTCAGCGATATTCCAGCCCGCCTTCAAAGGACAGTCCCAAGGAAGGTGGCGAAGCCCTCATTCTGCCCCAGTCACAGCAAACCACAATTCCTCTTCAAAGTAGCCTTTCAGATGCAGCTGCGCTGACGACGGCTGGACGTTGGTCTACTCTGGACAACTTCCAGGAGTCCGACTCCACCGACACCACTTCTGGCAGCGGCCAAGTCGTGTTCCCCATCATTCACGGTGGCATTCCACCCGACGTCCTGCTAACACCGGGCGCCGCCGAGAAGTTCCGACTCGCAACCAAGCCACCACAAACTCTTGAAGAAGCTCAGTAAGTTCTGGGACTTGGACAAAATTTGCCAATTGACGGTCGTCTGCTTTTATTTATTTTATCGATTTCCAGTTTGCAGGCAAGGTCATAGGAGCTATAAAAGAGAAAATCGATAGAGAAGGAAAAGACTTGTCGATCCCCGAAATTATAATTTTATTCGTTTGAGCTTTCGGACTATTACTCGCGTCCATCGTCAGAGATAAAAGCGTCGACTTAAAACAAGCAACAGTTATACGGGGTAGGGGGCCAATCAACCACCAGTCCGGCGATGCCTGCACGGGCTGGTGTATGCCGGCGCCAGATCGATAAGTCGACTGACTGAGTTACCATAGCAGGCCCAGGCTTCAATCAACTCTAGGTCTGTCTTGTTGCCTTCTTCGCCCCCATCTATTCAGATACCTGGTATGCAAACATTTGCCTCACTTAGTAGAGAATCAAGCTGACAGTGAAAGAAGACTCCTGATCATTCTTTACAGTGATTTTAAGGAGCAAATTCTGCAGCTTGTTGAATGATTTAAGCTCGGGACGGGGAAAGGTTGACACGGATGAACATTTTTTTCAGTCTCCCTCCACTTCTTTGGATCCAGTATTCTGCAACAGATAAGGCTTATAGGCTAAATGTTACTCGCTGCCGGTTAAAGAATCATCCGATTGTGGGCTGCAGAGTCAGCCCAATGGCCTTCAGCGTGAAGCCTAATTCAGAGTTCAGAGTCTGCGTACACTAACAGAGAGGAAGAGAGATTCCACCGTGAAAGGTGTTCTCAATCTGGAAAACCAGTGATAGCTCTCTTAAACACGGGATGTCTTTATTGAATTTTGATGCTTCTGGTGGGCTTATTCCATAGTGCTATGGCGGTTACTGCTTAAAACTGGCGATATCTAACTGTGCGTGCCAGAGAAAGAAGCGGGAAACATCCCGGGGACTAGTGCGCCGAGAGTAGTCAAACTGTCTCGGAGTAGTAAGTAAATTAAAAGTAGGACTCATTAAAAATGAAAGCAGTAAAATTAGTCCCTTCTGCAATTTGTGTAGCCACAATGGATCAAGGTTAGTAAGCTCACAGCGTTGTTTGTAGGATAGGCTACGGCGTTCTGAAGAGAACATACTTTTAGTAATCACTGATTCCGTTAACAAGCGCACAGAAGGCTTAATAGAAACGAGCAGTATTCCAGACTAGGTCTAGGGTACATTTAATGAGGGCTGGTTCTAACATTTATGGATGTAAAATTTCTGAAAATAAACGCGGTAGTTCGGTGCGCTTGAGGCCGCAGAACTCTGACAGACTAAGAACATTAGAACACGATATTTCCAAATCCTAAATAACTTTGGGCACGTTTAGGTCACGGCTGAATATGCTTAATTGAGACTGATGGTCATCGTCAACAATCATAACGCACCATTTGTGTCAAGAAAGGGAAAGACGCCACGTGCAGCACCACTGGCCAAAGGGCTGAAGATCTTGTTAAGAATGCAAGCGCGATGCTGCGATCTGCTGGTTTAACAACAGTGGGCAACTTTCAAGAACAATAAGATTCAGGA